TAACTGGTTTCGCGAGCGACATCGCACTCCCACGTGTTGGTTCAATACGAAAAACAAGAGTGCTGCAAGATACAGCGAAAATCTTACCAGCATGAATTCTTCAATGAGATGTTACCGACCTAATCGACTGCGCTTGGGGTGACGACTGGAGGTTGAGGAGGCTGGAGACGTGGAAGACCGACTCTCTCGCGACCGCACCTCCCTCGGACCTGTCAGTGTCGCCACCACCCCACGCTTCCCTAAAACTTCAAGTACACACTTGAAGTTTAGGCGAGTGACCAACCTGCCACATCTGAGTTACTCTGTACTCCTTGCTGTTGGCGATACCTGATGGAACAGGAGGGAACGCACACACCCTACTAGTTGCAACTCACGAGAAAGTCGTGTCATTCAGTGTACTCCGTCTTAGAGTCGCAGGGGCTTTCTTCGATCCATCAGTTCCCCTAGTCTGGCCGTACCGTTTCGGTAGTGCCATGCTTTTCCCTGTGGCACGATAAACGCCTCCTTTGAGCTGGCGAGCAATATGAGAATCAGTAAAAGGCACGTATTCTCTCTCGCAGCCAACTCACCATAGGGAGATGCTCGTCTTCTGGTCGGCCAATGCGATCGGATTCTCGCCGCGAAAACGACCGCGATTCACTATCGGAAGTAGTGCTCGCGACGACTGGTGCCATAGTTGGGGCTTCAGCATTCCCATAGCACGCAGACGACTGTAGCTTAGCCAACCTACAGAGCCTATTGTCTCATATCGAGAAGCGGAGGAAGAACCACTAAAGGACCTCGAAACGTAACTCGTGAACAAATCTAGGCTACACACTACACCACTCAAATTGCGCGCAAATGAGTGCGGAGTGGTACTGATCCGTTGCCACCTTCGATCGCGCGAAAGTCTTTGTCCGCCGCCACGACCCCCAAGTCGATGACCTTCAGAGTGTTTGTAGCCCGAGAATGCAGTTGGGTACATGGCACGATCAAACTGTACATGGCTGGTTTGAGTCGATGCACACAACTCACACCGAGTGTTTGCCCGAGTGGTTAAGGGGGTGGACTTAAGATCCACTGGACACGGTCCGCGTGGGTTCGAACCCCACAGCACTCAGTTTTTATGAATATTTTTCCCCTCAATTCGCAAGTCAGTTCACACCTACCAGAACATCCTCAACATAACTGGAAGTTTCCAAAGCAATCACGAGTCCACAACACGGTGTCATTGACACCCACACATGAGCTCCAAAGCAACTCACCCCACCACCAACTGTGACTCACTCAAACAAACAAATATCCAGTCGGACAACAACGGTAATAAGGCCATTCGATTCATCACATGTCAAACTTGATATCCACACTTTTCAATGCATCCTTTTTGGCTCCTCTCATACCGACCAAGTATCGTTTATGAACCACCGGATTTGTCCACTTGTCATGGGAGGTATTCGTCGTTGCAGTCTTGGGGAGATAGACCTGAGCATGTCAAGCACAGTCATCGAGCTCAAACGATGTAGAATTCAACCAGGTCAAGTTTGTCAATAATTCCCCCACCAGTGTGAATCGATTCTGACAACAACTTGTATGTGGTGTTACTCACCTGCACGTCACTGTCTCTTCTGAAGGAGGAGTAATCAGTCTGGACACTTCTCGTCTTTTTCTGTCGTAGCGTCACTGCCCTCAACAATTTCTCCCGCAGCCTCCATTCGTTCCATCTGCCACAATACCATACCGCTGAGGTGACTCTCCTCCAACCCACTCATATTCCTTATCCACATGCTGCTGCTGCGGATGCAACTCCGTCTCGCAGGCCACGTCCAGTCGAACCCGCCCAGGGCCGCTCTCCTGACGATCGGACTTATCTGAAAGCATATCATTCGCAACACTTTAGGCTCTTGTGCGCACCCTAACCCCAAGAACCACACACACACACCCTGGCAAGAAAGTGATAGATCCATCAGCTAGTTTCCTACCTTCTCCCCCGAACAGTGCACCCGGAATATGCGGGAATTCCGCCTGCATTCTGAAAATGAACCTCTAACGAAAATCGCCACCAAATGCCCTACTGCAACAAGGGGATAAGTGGAGGCATCAAACGGCAATACGCCTTCACCCATTCCTCATATTTACTGTGGTCAGCCATAAACCTGCCAACACGCCACCTCCCACTACCCTCTCCCCGAAGGGCTACTACTACCTCCTCACGGCGCCAGGAGACGAAAACGCCACCAAGGACGCGGTCCCTCCATCGAGTCGGAGGACGAGGCCATGCTGAGGGTCACCCGGTACAAGCAGACCTCTACCGTCAACGATAGCGATCGGACAGTACCCCTGAAAGGAGTCCTACCCGCCCCATTGGGCCTATTACCGACTACCTGGTATTTCAGCCCAACTTCCTGGTACTTCCCAAAGCTTCCAGGCTCAAGAAGAATCATATTACCTGTATACAACCATAGTGGCATCAAGATACGACCTTTCCTCCTCACCTCAGTAGTGTCTCATCTTGGCCTCAACAGGCATATCTCATCTTCTGAGGGCAAGATACACATTAGGCCCGAATGTAGCCTCACCTTAGACCACCATGGACATACATCCTGCCAAGACTCGAGCACCGAGTGCTGCTCTAGAGAGGACGGCGTCTCAGGGCTGAGGGAAACACCACTAGACCGCAGATACAAGCACAAATCACCAAGTATTGGTAGCGCGGTTGGTAGAGCACTTGTCCTCCATAGAATAATCGACAGATCCCCAGTTCGATCCCAACAGGAGGCCTTTCTCTTCAAACCTACTCCTCGAGCTCACAAGCAATACTACTAGGGTTGATAAAAATATTATTTCGCAATTCCACCTTTCCTACTACTACTAATATATGCCATAATAGCACACATCTAGTTTTTCCACCAACTCCACGCGGATCTACCATGATCCTTACACTACCTATATGCATCCAACTGCTCGAACACCATATGTGCCAGACGTATCCGATCATTGATGAACCGCAGCTCATCACGGCAACTATAGTAGTACTTCGCAAGAGAATCAAAACAAGGGTAAACCTGAGACATGATAACCCCCCCCCCCCTCAACAACAGTCAAACAGCCCCCCTGCCCACCTCCGCCTTGAGGATGACCGTCCTGTTGCCCATCCCGGCACCTATCATCCTAGCACACTCAGCAAAGTGAGAGCGCGATTTATACAACCGTTCGATAGCTCTAAAGCACAACTATGTCCATCACCTCAGTAGTGGCCATCACCTCTCAATATCATCACCAGCAGATCGGAGATACAACACACACTGACGTATATAGCAAATATCATCAGTTCCCTTTGCCAAGCCCTCCCCTGCCTCCTCCTTCAGTGACACCACTACGAGGTAGTCTATATACTCCTTGAGTCGCGAGCATCTACCTGCCCATAAGACAGGCCTCGAGAGCTCCTCCAATCTTCACCTACTGTTAATCTCCTGTAGTGCATCCTCGAGATCATCCGCTCTCCTACGCTTATCCGGATCGCCTAATACCTACTACCCAACAACTGACAGATAAGCACTCAGCATGTAGACGAACCTCCTTCGTGTTAAGACCAGCACCTGGCCAGTCGGCGGACACCGAGTGGTAGAGGCGTATGCCGTGGACGAGGCTGATGAGCTCTCGCATATGGCATACCTTAAAAACGTAAAGTGCGCGGGTAGAACCGGCG